GATAAGAATCTTACAGAGCCTTAGGGGGGAGATCAGGTGAATTTTATGGCGACAGAACAAAAATCCCCCCTCCCTCCTCCAAGCTCAGGCCATAAATAATGTCTGGTCAATAAGAATGTTCTATTGAAAGTGGTAAGAATTGAAATTCAAATGAAAATAGGGACTAATTAAGACAAAAAAATGAAACAAGTTTTAAGGTAATGGAAAAGAGAGTCATAGTTATAGATGTAAAGTTCCAAAGGACGTTTATTTTTGTACAGCGAATTCGGAGTGTAATATGTGGTTGCATAAAAAAAAGGACGTATGAATATTTTTGGTGGATCGATGAATCTTTTGTAAAAGAGCTTTGTTTAATGTTTGATTCTTGACTAAGAGAGAGGTTTTTGAAGAGAGTACCTTTTTATTGATATGACAGTGATTTGAAATTTCAAGTAAATAAAAGTCAGACAAAATGACACCAAGTATTCTGATTGTTATGACAAGGGAACACAACTTTTTCACTCAACCCTCCCGCGCTCTGACTGCACAATGTCTGTCGATCGTTTGCGTTTTCATCTCATGTTGGTGTCTCGGTAAAAATATATCTTTAACTGTAACAATTCTATAGGGACGGAGGAGCTTGGGACCGTAGGGGGGGGGGAGGGGGGCTAAACAAAAGTTTGCTTTAGTAAAGGTACGTACCAAAAATAAAGGAGAAAGGAAAAGAAAACGAGGCCTGTCAATCAAAGCGATCGGTCAAATCGCCACAAGCCCGAACACGCAAGTGATTCGAAAGCAAATTCAATTTTATTTGGTTTTATCAACTGAATTTAGACAATATAACTTGGCCACTGTAAGGAGTTTCTAAAGCTGACATTTGGAATGTTAGCCCTCGAGTGCTAACGCTCGAAATGTCATCTTTAGAAACTCTTTACAGTGGCCAATTTACATTTTCAATTCAGTTCAGAAAACCAAATTATCTTGTTATACCTCCCACCAGTGCAACACCACAGGTTCTTTACAAACTTGCCCCGCTCTAAATTCAACCCCCTCGAGTCACTCGCGGGATGATAGCATATATACCCCTTTATGTAAACTTGACTTCCACTCAAGGGTGGATCAGGGGTTTGGCGCATGCGTGTGTGTGTGTGGAGGAGAGCAAGGGGGAGGGGGATGTCAGAAGGAGAATGTGCACCAGATGAAGGGTTTGATGACGGTGGGAGAGAGGTAGGAAGAATTTTGACCCCCTCTTTCTAAAACTGACCTCCCCTCCTGGGTGCATGATGGGGAAGAGAAGGGTGGGGACGAAAGGAGCGTGCGGAAAAATTGATAGTTTTAGGGTAGGACTCCTCCTCCTGCTCTTTTTGATTAATTCACGATCTTTTTTTTTATTATACGTGGATAGTTTTTCAGACATGCACAACTTAAGCTTGGTGTTTGGTTTAAGCGTATTTAGTTTGCTTATCATGCTTTCCTAGGGTTCTCTTTGTAAAATGACGGACGGTGTTCGAGCTTCGAGTAAAAGAACTCGTGGTTTATATGTGCAGATAAACAACGCTTCCTCATCAGATCTTGTTTAGGGAGGGAAAAACACCGATAGAATAACGGATTACGGCGGGCTCAAGACATGGCGTTTTTTGTACTTTTCTGGGGCTTGAAAAATGGCGTAGCATTGAGGATTCTTAGGTAGTATTTGGGCTGTTTTTTGTCCAAGTTTGGAACCAGTCTAGGGGCTTTAATGATTCCTAATTTTTCATAAGAGATGAAGTTTAGCAAGTAAACAAAACTGTTTGATCTGGAAGAATATTCCTGCAAACCTTCGAAGTGGGGTAATTTTGGACATTCTATGCTCTGTTTGGACTTTTAGTGAGAAAATGTATGGCGGAGTGCGAGGATTTACGCGTCCAAAGATTCGGGAACCACTAAAACACACGTAAAAGCACATAGAGTATGCAGCGAAAGATTGTACTAAAAGTCTACTCCATTTTGTGATCTCGAAGAAACTGTCACCTCCAGCGGTTCTAACATAGGAGCAATTATTAAAAGAAGATTAGTTAAAATTGCACTGTTTTCCTTGTTGTGATGTTTACGTCGATGCGCGTGCGTGGCAGCCATGCCCTCATGGATTTCTGGGCATGACATCGTACTCAAGTTGTAAAGAAGAAATGGAAGTTGCGAGTACGGTTCAGTCAGCCCTTCGAAGAAGAACCGCGTACATCAAATAAAGATTTCGACAAAGACTCACAAAGGGATAAAGACGGTTTCTCGCCTGTGGTGTTAAGGTCAAGATTAGAACGAAAAAATTCAGTTACGTTTGTGTTCTATTATCTGTGGCGAAATCTATGGTAAGAATGGGTAGCTGTGTTCTTTTCCGTTGCCATAACAAATTACTCCTTCTCACTAAGTGCGGCGAAGGTTCCCCTTGGTCTGTGCCCATGGGTTTCGTTGCTGTAGAGTAAATTCCCTCGGCAAACCAAACGTAAACTTTTAACGGCAGCATCGAAAGAATCAGCTGTATCACGAGGCACGATGATTTCCACCGAGAAGTCATCGGGTAGTTTTACTGCGAGTTGCTCCTTTTCTCAGACATTGCAAAAGCAGAGGCTATCGTCGTCGAGTCGGTCAAATGGAAAACGTGTGAGTTTATAGCCATCTGATTCAAGTTTATCTCAAATAAGGATTTCAACATATAGAGAGAGACTATTTTAGTCTGAGTGCAGCATTGCTACATGACATATTTCGCTCATGACAAATAACCGACATTAGTGTTGTAAATGAATACTTCGTATGCATCTACTTTCACACAGCACTTGGATTCGCTATTATCAAATTCAATAATATTTGTGTTTCACAATTCATCGCGTTGTAGTGCTGTTATCACAATGACATTGCTATTTTTGCTACTTTTAGTTTCTTGAGGGTAGAGGCAAATTGATGGCCTGTGTGGTGGATTTTTGGAAACCTAGGTTGGGAGAATACAAGGCCCCTTCGAGCTTGAGTTTATACCAGTATCCGCCAGAGGTTTAGCACTATTCAGGCAACAGAATATCGGTCACCTTAGGAAAGGACTTCACCTTTATAACAAATGTATTTGTGTTGTTAAAATGCGATTGAAACTACAACTAGTGGGATTTTTAAACGATCAGAAAGTGCAAATGCAGTCATGTGGAAAGACAAAGAGTATGAGTACATCTAAAGCACATGAAATAAACAACATTAAGAAGCTCACCATTCTTCGCTTGCGAAATGTCAGCCGAAAAGATTGTGGAATAATCGTGTCCGATTTGGGAATAGGCCTCTCAATCAGCATTCTTTATAGCTGAATTCATCGGCAATCTAAGTTCCCTAGATTTGACCAGTGGTATGTGTTCGTAACAGCCGTCTTCGAAGACGAGATGGAGCATGAGGCCGACGACTTTGAAGAGTAAAATCTCCTCCATGAAGACGATCGAAACGCGTCCATTTTGGTTATACAGCAACATCCTTTGGAAAGTATTGTATAGAAATATTTGTTGTATGTGTATCATTCTTGTAGCTAACATCATTTAGCGCTCCGGCCACGCAATACGTTTGTCCTCTCTTCTTGATTTCTCCTTTCTCCACCAAAGTTTCTTCACAGTTTTTTATGTCACAGCTACGTAACATAATCGTTTTGGCCGCGCAGTTTTGACTCAGATATGCAAATGAGTCACTCACTGACTAAGATGTAGACACTGGTTATTAGTCCTCCTGAACTCGCTGGAGCACGAAACCACATTGGCGCATGACGTTAGTAAGGCTTTATTACATACAAAGCAAATATGCTTGAAATATCCCCTTGCAAGTGAAAAAAAAAGGGTATCGAACTCGGGCACAAACCTAATACTGTGAAACACTTCGATTGTTTATGGTCTGATGTCAGACAAGAACCGTGAATAAATTCAATTATCCTATTATCTTATTTAATTATCATTGGCGACTGAATCGATCGGTAGTGGACGAAAATAATCCTGTGTTTTTCTGACAAAAAAGAAAACTTGTGGAATTCACTGCCGCACGTGTTTATTTTCAATGAGACAAAAATATTGCGATCGCCTAAAATGCCTTCTGAGGTAATTTGTTCCGAGGCAGAAAACTTAAAGAGTTTTGTTATCAGATGCACGCGGGAGTCAACTCTTTAACTCCCATGAGTAACCAAGACAGAATTTCTCCTTATAATATCAATACAATATCAACCAGATAAGTAGTGAGAATAAAGAGAAATATCAATTTGGGGATAATTATTTGATTCAATACTAAATTCTCTGAACTAACATCATAAGAATTCTATGGTTGACAGTAGGAGAATTACAAATTTGATCTGGGAGTTAGAGGATTAAGGCTGTAAACAAAGACTGTTACGCTGCAATTCAACCATTTCTTGAGCAGCTGAGGCGGAAAGTGACATATGAATGGAAAATAGCAAAATTTGGCTTGTGCAGGCGAAGAAAGACTTGGATTGCAGCGTCTAAATTTGACAAATTTTGCGAACAGAAATTCGATAAACGCAGGATGCTATTTTGTGCTGTTTCTAAAGACTATAAATGCGTTTATTTCTCAGCGGAGTTGATGGTTACCATGCTCGGCTTTTGAGATAAGAGCAACCTTGCATTGCTGCAAGAAATATAATTACAGGTTCACAACCATATTTCATCGCTAGATGAAGAACTCTATGCACGAGTTGGCCATAGGTATTCTCTGATTTCAGTTAGCAAGACAAGTCACTCTTTCACCCAGTTTTTCTGTGTAAGCAGATTAAAACCCACCCCCTAAAACATCCAAATTGCATCGACCATGGGTCAGTTTACAAAAAATATCAAACGAAAAAAGGGAATTGAAGAAAGGAAGCAGCAGGCTAAGGAGCATCGTAATCAAACGGACTTTCTGGATGAACGCAAAAAAAGTATACGCATCAACAAAAAATAGAAGAGAAAAACTGAAATTCTACTGAAAATACCTTTATTTATATCAGTTACGTCTTAAGAAATACATAAATGGTTCAACTAAACATACCCTTACAAAATTAAAAAATGTCTTGTAACAACTTTTCTAAAAAAAGTTCACTTCGAAAAATAGATTGTTCTTCACAGCCTACAACAAAGCCTCATGTAGTCATCATAAAGAGTCTTACCATACAACATGGCTACAACTCTATTAATTAACTCTTTGCACCTAAGAATTATCAACTTCAAATTTCTCACAGGACTTAAAAGTGTCAGCACATTATCACACTAAAGTAAGTTTATGAGAATCAAGTAACTGATCACCAAAGAATAATTACTCTAACCTTAAACCAATTATGGCAGTCCCTCTAGAAAATATATATATATGAGCAGAATTTATTACTAAAGACAAAAATATTGCATCCGATTTTCAACTACAACAAAATCCGAGGCAGTCCAATGTTTCCAAATTATCCTCGCGCGGATAATCTGGTGGTTTACACGCACGCGCGTTACAGATGAAGCATAGTTTCTTTTAACAGCTTTATCCATTAAACGTGACAAGGTAAAAGTTGTGTAGATAAGATTGTAATAAAGTGTAACGGTCTCTTGACTAAACGTACACGCTTTTATAAAAGCTCTTACAAAAGTAAATAATCTTGGCAAACAGATGCTACGTAAGTCTTATACTAATACTGATATCGATAAATGGAAGCTACTGTACATTTACCCTGTTCAAGGTCAGAGTCATTAATCGCTGCTTATTCCTGACGTAAACGCTTCTTAAAGTTGGTCATAAGGCAAGGTAGCCATGTCCTAGAAGGGTTCAATTTATTGCAAGTATTGTCACATGAGGATGACACTCCTACGTAACACCCAGAGCAGCAGCACTATCATCACCAATTTTATTATGACGCAAATCCAACTTTGTCAGCGATTTGTTATATTTCAAACACTCACCCAGAGCAGCAGCACCATCATCACCAATTTCATTATCACTCAAATCCAACGTTGTCAGCGATTTGTTATATTTCAAACACTCAGCCAGAGCAGCAGCACCATCATCACCAATTCGATTATCACTCAAATCCAACGTTGTCAGCGATTTGTTGTATTTCAAACACTCACCCAGAGCAGTAGCACCATCATCACCAATTCGATTATCACTCAAATCCAACGTTGTCAGCGATTTGTTATATTTCAAACACTCACCGAGAGCAGCAGCACCATCATCTCCAAAGTTATTCTCACCCAAATCCAACGTTGTCAGCGATTTGTTATATTTCAAACACTCACCCAGAGCAGCAGCACCATCATTACAAGTTCCAAAACAACCCAAGCTCAACGTTTCCAGCGATGCATTATATTTCAAACACTCTGCAAGAGCGACAACCCCATCTTGCGAAGATTTATGCAATGTTAATACTCTCACAGTTGTATTTGTTTTCAGAAAGTTGCTTAAAATGACACCTAGAGTTTCATCCACTTCTGTTTCAAGTGAAACTACAACAGTTTCAGTTTGAAGAGAAGCGCCAAGAGCGGTAGCCAATTTTTCATCAACATTTTTGTTGTTCTTTTTGCATTCATTAACACACTTTAATATAACGTCCACGTATTCCACTTCTTTCTGGTTTAACTGTGTTGCTATGCTTTTCAGAAGGTTCACCACTGTTTCCTCGCATCGTGCTGCTAGCATACCAAATGTAAACAGAAGTACTTCTTTCAGTTGATGGCGATATTTTTTGCCAGCAGCTATGCTGTTCGTACTGATTTCTTTCTGGATAAGCTGACAACTGAGATAGAAGGCTGCGAAGAATTCTTGGAAACTCTTGTGAAGAAAGCTATAACGTCTAGTTGGTCTTAGTTTACTGCCTCCAGGCTGAACTGACAGAAATCCAAATCCAGGTAAATCGCTTGCTTTGTGTTTTCCAAGCTCCTTCTCGTCAAAATCCAAGTTGTCTTCAAATAAACCTTTCAAGGCTATCGAACCAAGGTGTTTCATTTGGCTTTCGTAAAGGTCAACAAGGTCTTCACCGTTTTCTGGTAGTTGCTGCTTTGTTCTGTACCTTCTTAGTACACACTCTACTATTTCCGTGTACAGCTTCGTTCTGCTCTCAGGAAATATACCTTTCAAATCTTCATAAACCAGGCAAAGAAGCGCAGTGTTGAGAGGATTCGTCAATATTTCATATAACTTGCGATCAATATACAGGTGTGCGATAAGCTGCTTGGCCAAGTTTGGTTCGGCTTTGAAGTACTTTCTGATGAAGGATTGTACATCTTCTTTAGTAAATCCCTCAACTTCTAACAGCGTGTCGCAGTATTTTCGAACTTTGACTCCAGCTTCGTGTCGTGCTGTAGCAACCACACGACAGTTTGGCAGTACTCGCCCTTGAATAATTTCTAAAAACAAAGGTAGCTTCTTCTCAGAAACTTCATCCAATCCATCGAGTACCAGAAGAACATTAGATTGATTGTGGCGAATGAAGTCGAAGAATCTGTCACGTTGGTCTTCACCAACTTCTCGAGGCAGAAGTTGATCTTCAATGGCCTCCCAAAGGCCAGACTGAACATCACGACATTTGATCAAAAGCACTATTACGATGTTTGTGAAGCAATTCCCGTTTGCGTGTTTTCCTGAGGCCCAGTCGAAAACAACTTTTTTACAGTAAGTGGTCTTTCCCATACCAGGCTTCCCTTCAATTAACACTACTCTTGGTTCTTTACATTCTTCGTGCTGGTTGAAGATTTCAGACATCGTGACAACTCGGTCTGTTGCTGTTCCTTTCGTTTTCTTTCTGTAGATGACTTTAAGTCTGGTGTAGATGTCGTCAAAGGAGAAGTGAAAATCTTCACACCAGGGAAACGGTGCCAGCCAACCTTCCCGATTTTTGTAGAGTTGACGAATATTATCAATAATTCCAGTTGGGTCAAATCCATCTGAAAAAGAATTAGTTGTTAGTTTTATGAGGCATTCTTACCGACACGCTATATGACGCCATGACTCTCGGAAAAATAAGCAATTATACGATGACACTGAGAATGATATCGTGAAATATCACCACTTAGGTCTGAGTTATCAGACGAAGCCGAATGCTGAAGCAGATATTATTGACACGAAGTTTGATAATTCATAATAACATGAAAAAAAAACCGGAATCAAACAGATATTTTTTTCATTTTGAAAACAACTGCAAAATAAAAAAATTCTCTCTGAGGGTGCAAAATTTTGCGAACACTACACGGTCGAGGGGCTCGGAAACTAGGCAGACTCTGAACTCGACATGATCAATATCCGCTGCATTTAATGGGTTATCAAGTCAATCTCTTATGCTACTGTGTATCAATTAAGTGGCGATCTCTGTAAGAGTGGTCCAAGGCCCTTCATATCGGAGAAAAGTTTTGCCTCAAACTTTGCCCATTAAATTATCTTTGGTAGTAAGTAAATAAAACCACGTCGGTTTCTGGAAATACGTTCAAAAATTTTTTTGAGAGCTCTCAATAGTCAGAGCTGCAAAAAGCCCTTTTTTGACTTCTTGCGACATCAAGAATTTCAAAAGTTGACAAGCTTGCTCCTCGTAACACACCACATGCAGCAAGAAATCGTTTGTGTTCCTAAATTTTGTGATATATAAGGGGTTAAGAAGGCATTCAATTTTGATATGTGTTCAGTCAGAGGTTAGCCATAATTTATTTTAAAACACTCGTTAGCCGATTTTTTTTAAATTGGTCAAAAGTACTCTTTCTTTCTTGGGTGATATTTCTCAAGTCCAGACCAGACCATAGAAAACTGCGGTGGATTTCTTCTAATAAGATATTCGAAATTATAGAAATGTAAGAAAATCTTTCACTTATTCATTTTCTCCGTCTTAGTGACTTCAAACTTTTGGTGATTTTGCTAACGCGACAGTAGAATTATGCATAAATCTTAGATTTCAACAATTTTAAAAAGAAAAGATAGCAGGGTAGAGCATTAAGAACACACAAATTGATTTTCTAAACATTTTAAACGGTTAAATTCTGACAAATGATTCTGTATCGTGACGAAAAAGGTGAACAAGACGTATCAAATATCATATTGATTAGCGTTCGGTCAACGTGTTAATTTTTAAAAAAATTGGTTTCTGTTCTTTCACATTTGAGTTTAGAGGGTTTAAGCTATTCAAACCTGTGTGAGCAAAAAATCACGTCATCGCTGCCTTCTTTAGACGGGAAAAGTACACAAACATTTACATACATTTACAGAACACATCCTCATCTGGGGCTTTTCAGTGAAGAAATTGGATTACAAATTAAAATACGCACAATATAATACGAATTATATATCTTTAAATAAAATATGGTCAGTTTAAAAATTCATTCAAAAGGTGATTTTTAGAGCTCTCTTAAAGGAAGCGAAACTCTTACATAATTTAAGACTTGGATTTATAATAAAACGTTTTCTGTCCTGTTGCAGTTTTAAAAGGAGGAATGTTTGGTCGTTGAAAGTTTCTGGTTATACTTTCAGATACGCTGCCTCTTGTTATATACATACATGTTAAGTATTCCGGGGCTTGATCCGTCATACATTTATATGTTAAAGTAGCATCTCGGCAATACAGTTGTGTTTTTACAGGGAGCCAAAGTAAGTTTTTTAATACAAGAGAGATATGGTCATACTTCTTTACGTTGCAGATAGTTCACGCGGCAAAGTTTTGAACGTATAGCAATTTACGAATATTACAGGCTGAGGTGGATGATCATACTGATGAACAGTAATATAGTTTACTGAAAACAAGCGCATTTATTATGATTTTAAGCAGTTATTTATCGAAAACGAATCTAATACGGCTTATTTGAGATAATTTCGACATGCAAGACGATAAAAATATCGAAAGATAGCGTGGGATCAGAAATTACTCAAAGGCCTCTGACTAATTGAGCCGGGTTAATGTCTTTTTCCTAATGGCGATAATTTAAAGTCCAGTAATTTCGAAGACATTCCTCGGCTGCCAAAAACCATTAGTTTCGTCATATCTGGATTAAGCATTAAACAAATGTCGAAACACCAATTGCGAATCCGTTGTAAGTCGGAATTAAGACTTTGAGTGATCCAAGCAGAGTCGTTCTTGGTAAAAGACAACAGGAGTTTAGTCATCCACGTAGCAGTTGAACAATTTTAACAAACATTTGATAGATCGTTTACATAAATACTGAAAAGTAATGCTCTAAGGACACTTCCCTGCGGTACGCCACTGCCTACTGGTAATTTATCAGATAAAACAGAGTTTATACGGACTGCCTGGTATCTCCGAGAAAGATAGCTTTCGAACCATTGAAGTGCAGAGGGTGATAGACCAATGTTCTTCAGTTTTTCTTTTAAAGAATTACATGATTTATATTGTCAAAAGATTTGCTCATATCAAGATATACGACCGCAGTAATTTTCATCCGGTCGATAGCGTGGAGAAAAGAATCAGTAGTAGAAATTAGCGATGTTTCGGTTGAGTGCCATTTTTTGTTGCCGCTTTGTTTCACTGATATTCTCTAGTTGGATGTTAGATACGGAGTCAGCTGGTTCAATACTACTCTTTCGCATACCTTAGAGAGTATTGGCAGTAGTAAAATTGGTCTGTAATTACTGGCTTCTTCGTGATCTCCGTTCTTAAGAATTGGACAGACTTCGGCAATTTTCTAAGAAGTTGGAAAAACTCTGCTTGTTAGAGAAGCGTTAATAATGGAAGTAATACTAGGGGCAATAATCGGCCAACTCTCTTTGATTAAGCGAGGTGATACCTTATCAATTCCTGGGACTCTCTTGTTAGGTATTAGGTTAACAATACCTTTAACTTAAGAACATTCCACGGTGTTAAAAGAAGACTGGTCTGCGACTGCATAATTTTTCGGAGTACATGGATCTTGCGCGGGCACATAATTGAATTTTCTTGCAAGTTGAGTCTTTTTTAACGTAGATTTCCCAACCGAGCACAAAAACTGGTTGAATTCATTTGCATCTGTTTGATCGTCTTTCGTAAAACTCTCAATATTCGCAGGCTTTTTAGAATCACGAACTGATTGTTTTCCAGATATTTCCAACATCGGTAGGGTTTTGTTTTACAGACGATATTTTCTCCTATAAACTGTTCTCGCGCGGCATCAAGAATAACACCAGAGCTAAGGCAAGAGGTAAATGGAGATAAAGAGTGCGATTTTCCACCGTGGCTTACATATGTCCGCCATGTTGTGAGGTGTGCAGAATTAAAAACAATTGAATTACAATGGTCTGGTCTGGACTTGAGAAATGCCAAATTTTCTTTATCGTATTTCCAATAACCAATGTGGTTTTATTTACCTACTACTAAAGAGAGTTTATTGGGCAAAGTTTGAGGCAAAGCTTTTTTCCGATGCGAAACGCCTTGGACTGCTCTTACAGAGCTCACCACTTAAATTCTCTCGACCAACCAGAACCATAAAACTGTTTGTCAACTGTCATATGATAACCTCTGATTTTAAAAATGATAAAACTGATCCGTGTGAAAGATCTTTATCAAGTCTCTACGAACAAGCCCAAAATTACAGAAACGGCGATAAGAAGGCTTATTGCAAATCCTTCTAAAGAGCACCTTTTTGCACGACAAGACACAGGTCTACTTTCAGTGAAAATTAAGCTTTATTAATCGCTCATCTTTAGACTTTTCATTCAAATTTGTGTTGTCTATAATCTGTTTTGAAAACAGAAAGCATCTCTTTACTGCATTGTCTGTAATTTCCGTGCGATCACATGCCAAGTTTTGTCAGTATATTTGGCTAGTTTATTATCTGTAGTTTAAACCTCGTTGGTTTACAAACTTTGGGCCGGTTATTTAAACGCGGTCTAACCCAAACCGCGGTTTCACACAAACAATGGGCCTTAGGCACTCTCTATAAGAGGGTTGATTTGGGTAAATAGTTATTTTTTTCTTATATGACGGCTGCAGCATAAGTATTAAACCTGTTGTCACAAAGTTTCACAATTCTTCGCCTTATGAAAAGCAGTGTTATTCCTGTATTTAGGACCCAACAGCATTTATTTTATTTCATTTCAAACAATTCTACCAAAGGTAAAGTGAGAAGTCTTAAATGAAGGTACATACCACTCTTTGTCTTAAATCTTCTGACATCTGACTCACTGTCTCCTTGTTCGTTGACAGCAAACAGTTTCACTTCATACTCTGCGTCATACTCAAGACCAGTAATCTTGAGGTGAGTGTCCTCTATATTTCCTCGTTGAACCATTTCTGTGGATTCTGTCACCGGTTGTTTCCTCCATTCCAAACGGTATTTAATGTTACCATTACTGCTGTTGGCCTCAGCCTCTGACCAGGTAACAGTGAAATCCTTGTCAACTTCTATTTCTGTATTTGTGATGGTTGGTTTCTCAGGTAAACCTGTTTAAAATTAGCTTCTTTTAAACTTTGTCTCTGATAAATGTGACATACTTATTTTAACTACATAAAACACGAATACACGTCAATTTAATCATTTCAACAAGTAATATGAATGCAACCGATCTTAACATGTCAGATCCAAAAAAAAAATGTCAGATCCAAAAAAAAAAAAAAAAAACCGGATCCAAAAAAAATAAGCTCGAAATGTACGTTTTAAATAATTTTGTTTTCATGTAATCATACACAGATGATCTACAAAACTCGATCTCTAGTCTGTTATACATGTGGACGTTTCGCACTCAGTCGATTTATACCCAGTTTAAGTCGTTCGTACCCGAACCACTGGTTGACTCGCACCCGTTCCCAGATTAAGTGATCACCAAAACCCAGGAGATCTCCCAAAATAGGTCACCCACAATTGAGTAAACAGATGTCGGTTGTTGCATACAGAAAGTAAGAAAGGAGTCAAATGAGTATTACAGATACAAGTAAAGTTCTGTGGTGTATTCTTGTGACTCTCTCAACAACAAAAATATCAGACCCCGCATTTCTGA